TATCTTACTACCTGTTCTTTAGCAGCCCTACATTTTCCCCTCATGTCACATAATTTTTTTTTTCTGGTACTGCAGTGGGTTGCCCACTCCATTCAAACATCTATATATGGAGAAAATCTTTGTGGCTGCTGATAGACATGGGGGAAAAAAATGGCGCTTTACTGGAAGAGGGGTTGCGTTAAGTTGACATGGCTCAATGTCCATATCAGCTTTTAAACAAATCAGCTATTAGATGTATGCACCAAAAAGCCCTGCTGAAGTACGTGATCTATACAGATGTTAGGTGAGCTGGGTCAAATTGACGCAGCTCCTTTTCTGGGCACATGTTGCACTAGGTACAGGGACACACCAAGCTGAAAATAAAGTGCCATATTTTTTTTCCTTAGTCTGTCAGCAGCCTTTTTGGTGAGCAGTTCTAGATCTCAAAGTCGGATAAGATTTGATTAAAAATAATTCCCTCAGGCATATTTTTGTTTTTGTTTTGTTTCTTGGATATTCCCAGGGTAGTGATTATTCAAGAACAGACTTTACTCGTTCTTTGAAGTGACACATGAATTCTTTTGGTGGTGATAATTTGTTGCCACTTCAGGTCTCCTTTACCTAGCTAGATCATGAAATTTAGATTTGACCATGAATTTGCCATTGTTGTTTAAAGGAAATTTAAAATTTAAAAAGCTATTTAAAGATTACTTAAATATGCTTCAAGTTAAATAATAGAACTAAAAAATCCTTATGAGAGTTTCTGATGACTTCTCAAAAGCGTTAGTTTTGTTATGACATATTTACAGTTTTGTTAAGGGTTAAATACTTGTTACATAGTATTACTTGTTTTATTTAGGCAAACATAAATGGTCGTGTCTTGGCTCAGTGTAACACTGAAGAACTGAAACGGGAGATGAACATGAATTTTGGTGACTGGCACCTTTTCAAAAGCATGGTAAGACAAAATCTTCATTTTCTGTGGTTTTCCATATCACCATGAATCTGATTCTTGTTTATAAGTTTTTCTTTTTTTTCTGGAAGTCTTCATTTATTTTGTTTTTCGTTTTTGTACTATAAATCTGATTTAATTTTAATCATAGAAGCATTTGTCATTCATTGCCATGCTTTCTTTTTTAAATAAACCAACTATTGAGCATAGTAAGCATTTGACTTTCGCTATGTCTGATGCTACCATTAACCCATGCATGTAAAACACAAATGTCTTTTCCAGTAGTTTGATAAATATGTATTATCAAGGAAAGGGAGAAACAAGCATCAAGGAGAGTTGTGTTCTCTGCAGTAATGTCTGTGTATTGTATGATTCTCTACTTTCAATTCATAGCATGTTTATCTGCTGTAAATGCATGTGAATATCTTCAGAGTCTGTTTTAAGGTTCAAGTTTGTTAAAGTGGTTAAATGTGGTGGTGGTGGGGGGTTTATTCCAAAACTTGTAACTAGTACTTTGCATTAGAGGAATTGATAATTGAAAGTTAGCGGTATGGTAAAGGGGACAGTAATTAATATTAAGAATGATTTTCAGTAAAGACAAGAAGTACAATTGTTCCATAAACAGATCTTTCTCAAGTAGCCCTTTGCCTTATTCACAACCCTGGGCACATATGTGGTTTAAAAATTAAAAGCTACTTTTCCCTGATGTGTAGGTGTGGGTGTGTGTGGGCGTATGAGTGTATTTGAGTAAGTGCTGCCACTTTTTTATCTTGCTGTACTGATGGCTGTACTGATCTTTTACATTTTAAGGTACTGGAAATGAGAAATTCAGAAAATCAGGCAGTTCATGAAGATTCTCGTGGGGCAAATGAACATGTTACCAATGTGATTCCTCATAATGAGCTTGCTCGTCGTTCAGGGCATAACAGTGAATTGCCTCACACTGAGCTTACAGGTCTTTCTGGTCAAGCTCCCTATGCTCTCAACTTCAGCTTTGAAGAACTGAACACAATTGGTCTTGATGAAGCTCCTCCTCGACACAGTAACTTAAGTTGGCAGGTATTGACTGAAGAGATGTATTTTGTTTACTGGATGTGTGCAGTATATTACTTTGCTTGATAACAGGGCAGGTCACAAATTTGTCCTTACAATACGGGAGCCAGCTTAGCTCCTAATCTTGTTAAAACCATTATTTGGAGTGGGGGAGGAACACTGTCAAATATACTACCTCCACTCTTTCATCCACCTTGGTCTTTCACTCCTTTAAGCTACTCACCCACTCTGATAATCCTTCTGGGTAAGGAGTATTACTACAGCATGTTGCTCATCCTTCATGAAGTAATGCCCTGCTAGATTTTGGTTAAAGTTGTTAATCATACTATTCAAACCTTGTGTATGGTAAATATTTTAGCAGCAAGCATCACTTAAACTTGGTAGATTGTTTGTTTGTTTGTTTGTTTTATTAAATAGAGCACATGAAACATAATAATACCAGAATTCTGTGCCAGGAAATATCCAGCAGTACACTCTGGAGTTTGGATTGCTCTGTTAACTACCCTGATTCTCTTACCAACATTGTTTGGTTTTAGCTTGTAGCCTTTAAGAGAGTAATTGATTGTCAACTAGGGTGCCATGAGATCCTTTCAAGGATGCTGTGGAGTTTCACGCAATGTTAGCTCTCTTAAGTGTGCAAACATGATTCACAAGATAAACCCAGTGGCTGTCTATAGACATGCTCATTCGTACTGTAATTAGAACAAACCTGATTAATCAATTCTGTTCCATGTTCTAATTGGAACGCTCCAGCATTGTCTCACCTTCACTGTCACAGGCTCCGCCCTCCCCCCCAGGTATTTCAGGGGTGCTTTAACTAAACCTAGTCAAGTGAGATTTAGTTAAAGTGCCCTTGGGGCCATTTTGAAATTGGGGGAGGGGGAAGAGGGGTGGCGGACATAATACATGTGATGGTGAGCTGTGTTAATTACAGCAGCTGTCCAGGAAACACTCCAGTTACAATGCCCTTCCCTCCCATTCTCCCTCCTCCAAGCACGTGTATATACTGCCAGCAATTGCAGGTAGGAATCCATAGTGGTAAATATTTTGACCTGTTGTGGTCTGTAGGGTTATCTGGAATAGAAGAGTTACTCTTATTTTTCTACACTCCGAAAGAAGTGAAAACTAAGAGCTAGCATTTTCCAAGGAATGCGTAGGGTTTATTGAGGGGTATCTTGAGTCTGAAAAGGTGAGAACCACTGTTTTAAAATTACACCAGAAACTTTAGATTAAAAAATTAGTTAAAAGGGGATTGTTTGGATGGTTTCTGTGAGCACAGTCCATAAAAGAGTAAATGCTTTGATCAAGTTTTTCAAAACTTTTATTCTCAGTGCCTCAATCTTTGCCCAACTTGAGATGTAGTTAGCCTTCTAAACTATAACATGTCAAGTTTGTGACGAAAGTTTGACACACAAACTATTTCCTGGCCAAAAATTGTTAATATTTACACTTAAATGTAAACCAAGTGGTTTGGGACATAGCTAAAAAAATTCTTATCTACACTTTGGGTAAAATCCTGGATTCATATTTTTGTAACTAAATATCAGCTTGTCCTTTTCAATCCCAAGATGGTAATGCTAGTTACTTTTAGTGTGTGTATTTTTTATTATGTGCCATGAGTACAAGAATAAGGGAAACAGTTTTTACAAGACAAGTGTAAAAAAAAAAAACCCCAAAAAACAAAAAACTTTCATCTTGAATGGTTACAACTTTAGAACTACAACAGGAAGAGGTAAATTAGCTCAGAAGTAGTAGTAGTTGGTTGATTTTTCTCTTTTTAGGGAGCATTGGAAGCATCATTCAGAGGATTTATATTGAGTTTGCATAAATAAAGAAACAAAATACAGTTTATTTTCTAAAGGGGTGAAAATAGTTTTGGAAATGGATGTCCAAAATACTTATTGATGTGAAACTCTCTACTGAATAAAGCATACGTGCAAAAATACATGAATACGTGCATTGCAGTATTGCATTATGGATACCAAAGTACTCTAATAGTCATAAAATATAGAGTAGTTGTTGTAGGTACCATTTTATTCATAATTAATCTTATCTGGCTATTTCACAGACAATAGAAGGGAATCCATATTGTAAATTATATCCCAGAATAAAAACTAAACCACAGGATCTTTGTAGTAGTGCAGAGGGGATACAACTGTAGCCTGCAGGTGAGACTTCCCAGTGGTCTTGTACATGATTGCCTGCTGACAGGTGCATGAACATCTTTTGAGGAGAAATGGAGCAGATACAGGAAAATAGGCAAGAGAGGAGGAACAAAAGAGGACAAAGAAGAGGGTAAATGAGAGAAAAAGGAAGAGAGAAGGAACAAAGAGGAGAGGTGAGGGACAGAAGATTATTAGTCTGAGTTAGATTTTCTGCTAAATTCCATGAAAATTTGGGCAGCATATGCCCAGCACCAATGCTTTTAGATTTTTTAGTCAAAAAATGAGATGGAATATTGTTAATGAAAATAAAAGCTAAGTTTTCTATGTAGGAGAAGAGTCAGCTTTCCACATGCAAGGATAATTCTGGCAATTACAGTAAAAGTAAACTTTTAAATCTATTTGATGAAGTACAGATTTTGTATATCCATCTACTTTTGCAGTTAAACAGAAATGACAGTGTTTTTGCCAAGTTGATGAAAATGCCTAACTGCAATTATAACTGTATTGGGCATATCTGCATATTGTTTGAGTGGGTATTGAGAACTTATCGTTGATGATGCATGACAGACAAAAGTTTAATTCATGCACATACTCATTGCTTTCAATTATGTTAAAATCATCTGTAAAGACTCATGATAATAAATTGGTTTTGCTTTATTTAACTTGATCTTTTCCCTTCCTTTTTCAGTCACAAACTCGCAGAACTCCCAGTCTCTCAAGTCTCAATTCTCAAGATTCTAGTATTGAAATCTCAAAGCTTACTGATAAGGTGCAAGCAGAATATAGAGATGCGTATAGAGAATATATTGCTCAAATGTCCCAACTAGAAGGGGGTGCAAGTTCCACTACTGTAAGTGGCAGGTCCTCCCCACATAGCACAACAGCCTTCTATATGGGGCAGAGTACATCAGGAGGCTCTCTCCATTCCAGTATTGAACAAGAAAAAGGAAAGGATGGTGAACAGAAACAAGATGATGGAAGAAAGTCCTTTCTCCTGAAGAGAAATGATGTTGTAGATTACAATACTTCAGGTGTTTCCACTAATGATGCATCTCCTTTGGATCCTATCACTGAAGAAGATGAAAAATCTGATCAGTCGGGTTCCAAGCTTCTCCCAGGAAAGAAATCTTCCGAAAGAACAAGCATTTTCCAGGCAGCAGATATAAAACTAAAGGGAGTTACTTTGCGCTATCAGAAACTTCCAAGTGATGAAGATGAGTCTGGAACTGAAGAGTCAGATAATACTCCACTTCTCAAGGAAGGTAAGGACAAGAAAATGGATGGAAAAATGGACAAGCAGCCAAAATCTCCAGAACATGGATCTGAGCCTATCAGAACCTTCATCAAAGCAAAGGAGTATTTGACAGATGCTCTTCTAGATAAAAAAGATTCTTCTGACTCTGGTGTGAGATCCAGTGAAAGTTCTCCAAATCACTCCCTTCATAATGAAGGAGCAGATGATTCTCAGCTTGAAAAGGCAAATCTCATTGAACTAGAAGATGATAGCCACAGTGGAAAGAGAGGGATTCCACACAGCCTGAGTGGTCTTCAAGATCCAGCTGTAGTACGCATGTCTATTTGCTCAGAAGATAAGAAAAGCCCTTCGGAGAGCAGCTTAATAGCAAGCAGTCCTGAAGAGAATTGGCCTGCTTGCCAGAAAGTCTATAATTTAAACAGAACCCCTAGTACCGTCACTCTAAATAATAACAGTGCTCCAGCTAATAGAGGTAATCACAATTTTGAAGAAACTGAAGGTGTCAGGGAGTCCCCTCAAATTATCCTGCGCCCTGGCACAAGTTCTAATTCAACTGCTGTTCAGAATGAGAACCTGAAGAGTGTGGCTCACAAGCGAAGTCAGCGTTCTAGTTATACCAGGCTATCAAAAGATGCATCAGAGCTCCACACTGTTACTGCCTCAGATGCTGCGGGCTTTGGAGAGGAAAGAGAGAGCATTCTGTAAAAGAAACTGAGCAGTTCAGAGCAGTGCATGCTTGTGTTTAAATAATTTTCTTGAGATCCTTAGTTTGTCAGTTCATGGTCATGGTAGACGCTGCATATTTTTAGGTAGCCTTCCCTAACATCTAGATTTTTTTCCAGACATTTTCATGAATAGAAAAAATAATGGCATTAAACAATAAATATTCTACTACCCCCCCCTTCATGTTCCCTTCCCCAAATAAAATCAGTGCTTATCCTTTACTTCACTTACTGCTTGGAAGTCATATTCCTTGCTAAAGAAGTATGTAGCAAAACCATATTTTGGGATTAAGTCTCCAATGAGTAGTATTTCTTATAAAAATGAAAGGTAGACTTTAAATATATATTCCAGTATACAAAGATCACATTTGATTATCCCACCTAATAGCTCTAATTACATCAAACAACATTTTGATTAATGTTATACTATGTGGTGCTATCTGAATTTAGAGAATCAGAAGTCACAACACTGAAATCCCTCGTGTCCTTTGCAACTCAGAATTTCATACTTTTCTTTAACTATTCAGTTTATCTAGCATAAAAAGTGTTGGTGCGTATGTATTTATACATATATAATTAGCTAACTGCACATCTCATCACGTCAATTTGTTCTATAGTTACTATTGTCTTTGCAGGTTTTATTTGTGTGGTGTGCTGATAGGTTTAGAAGAGAACATTGTCTGGATGTAGTATTAGAACTGACAGATACTTGGATTGTAATGTCCTCTCACTGATTGAGTACTCTATTATAGGTACATAATTTCACAATCATTGCACTAAATAGTTTTAACAATCGTGTTACTCTAATTGTAAAGACAATGTTTGAATGTGAAGTCTGAATTTATGAAGTATGTGGTGTTTTGCATGATTTGTTGTTTCTCTAATATATTGTTTTCCATCTGGTTATGGAAAGAAAATAAGTAATTAGTGTTTTCCATTTTAAAAGTGATATTTAATTATCAGGTCTCAGTCATAATAGTGTACTAGCTTCTTTATACTGGAAATATAGTATTTGATAATCTCTGTTGTCAGCTAAATAATGTATCTGTCTTTGTAGCAAATACTTAATGCTGTTAAACAAAATTTGCATGATATTGGAAATGGTTGTTCAATCAGTATTCCAGTAGTATAGAAGGAATAAATAACTTTGCATGTTAGTTTTTGTGCCTGCATTTGTTCATTGTAGTGATTTGTTTCTGCAGTTGACAATAAATAGTGTGAGGTTGGTTAAAGCATTTTTATGGATTTATTTATGAGACTTTTTAAATAAAGTACTTCTTATTCAGGCATCCTAAATAAACATCAAGGTGACAGTATATCTTTGATGCATAGATTACCTTCTTAAGGAAGATTATCCATATTATAAATTTGTTTCACTATATTCCAAAGCCATTATCATGCTTTTCATAAGTCAGGTTTTTTCAGAAGTTTTCTACAGCTTTGTTTTAGTTCCATGGCATCTCCAAACAGATTTATCCAGCTGGAGGGTATGGTCATAGTCTTAGTTATCCATATCAAGAGAATGTATTTCTGTGCCAGAGGCATCAGATATAAGAGGCGAGCTCTGTCTAGTTTCTTTAAGTTTTTGTTCCTTGGATATTCCCCATACTTATACTGCCAAACCCTTTGAGGAATTTATAGCATTGGTTTATTCTAAATTAGTACGTAAAACAATTTCAGCTGAATTGTTGTTTATCCCAAAATTTTACTATACTTTTGGAATTGCTTGTCCCCATATTTTTGTGATGTCTGTTCTCAACAGCATGGAAAATATTTCTCTTACTGCAGAATTTATACAACATAAATATAGTACCATATTTACTTTTTGTGGATTTTTTTCTGTGTTCTTCTTTTGTTACTACTTTTACCTATTTCTGACCATTCATCACTCTCTGTTTTCTGTAACAATACGGAATGTTTTTTTCTTCTTCACTTTTCTTTTTGTTTTTGAAAGACCAGTTAAATGTTGCTTTGCTGTGAAGGAATAGAAGTAGATATATTCTTTTTCATTAAGACAAATTAATACTTTGGAAAAGGTAACCACATATTTCTCAAGCTATATTGTCTCTGTAGATCAGGGGTAGGCAACGTTTTTTGGCTGGAGAGCCGAAAAACACCAAAATGCCTATCTCGGAAGGTGCTGGAGTGCCGGCACGGCAGAAAAACAAAATGAGGGCAAGGGGCACATGGCAGGATGCCCTG